CATAATAATCATATGTATGTGGCTTTCAAATGAATGTTTGGATCAAATATTTATTTTATATTGAAATGCCTACTACTGTAAACTTCCATTAGCTATCTTCGACCTAAACTCATGGGACATTCTAACCTTAAGTTCTCAAGCTTAGACTGCATCTGAGGTAGACAATAATCCGCAAGAAATATGTTACAAAGGCGATTTTAGGGGCAGTAGACTACCATCCATTAGGACAAGAAATCGTCGCTAAAACTGCTCCAGAGAAGTGGTAGAATGCTCGAAGACGTTATGGTTAATCCGTGGCAGTTCGATACACATGGTGCAACGCTCGATGTGATCGTGGAACGCACCCTACCCCGTGGATGACGCGTTGCTTTCCACTGTCATGCTAATCCGTTGCAGAGCGTAATTGCCGATTTATGCATGGCAACATTGGTCTCGGAGCATAATGCGTGCACAATGTGTCCCAAGGGGTTTGGAATTACTTATCCCGCGAAGAAGGAAATCGCGCTGGTTTGATAGATGACAAGAGCTCGCGATCTCTAGACCCTGTGTGTCTCGTCACTTTCTCGTGGGACGGACATACAGTAGTCACGCTACTGGAACGAAATTCGCCAGAAGCACTTTATTTCCCTCGTCGCGTTGCACGAGGCTAGAGACAGAGTCATTGTGATTCAGCTGAAATCTTAATGGAGTATCGAGAACCGCGGTGGAACGTCTATTATGAACTCGCCTGTTTCCCATTACGGTCAATAAAAGGGGAGATTCAAACCACATTTTTTGTGGCAGGGTGGGTGGTGGCGAGGATAGGAGTAGGGCCAAAGAGGGAACGAGAGAGGAGGAAGCCTTACTAGCTACGCTGACGTCGTTTTAGCCCGCGATCCATTCTCCGCGACGCGAGGAACACTTCCATTTAGATGCTCATCTCGCGGAAAAGATTTCACGAGGATATATTACCGTAACGTTATGTCTCCTTTCGTTCGAGGAAACCAGAACGAGATGGTATCTTTGAAATAAACGATCATGGTTAAATGCTTTGCTTGCAATACGAGCCATTAACGCGCATCCACGCTAATATCCTGCCTCTGATACTACTGGCAAGTACTAGACATAAACAGGAACAAGATGTCTTGCTTTAATAGATTTCAGACCTGCGCCGGTTACAGCACGCTCTCGTCGACAGTAATTCGATCTGGATTCGCGTAATTTCTTAAAACACGATGCAGCTAAGTGGATACTCGTATGTCGGGATTTAATGCGTGGGATTCGCATTGCGTTTAACGATGAGGATTTATATCTGTTAAGGGAGAAGCAGCGCTTGATGTGATTTGGAATCATAATCACACCCACGTACGAATTACGAGTGAACTATGTGCTTCTTGATCGGCAAAGAAGTATCGGGAAGAAATGAAACTGTTGTAGTACAAAACTAAATACTAAAGTAAACTCTACATCCTAGCGACCCCCCAGAGAGCGATCCCTACCCCTGCGCTTTGTCTTTTGTGACCTGCGTGGCCCTAAACAGACAGACTAGTTCTAACCGTTCGCTCATTTACTTAATAAACACCTATACAGTTTTTCCACCGTTTCCACTGGCTACTGTTTCTTTGCATTATAACCCCTTAACAGAGACGATAGGTCCATTTCTTCAAAGATGAAACGATGGGGACTCGATTAAATATTTAATTCGTACTAATACGATACTATCTATAATTTAAACTACATATTTGAACAAATTTTGCAATTTTCTCAATTTAAACAATTTTAAAAACTAATTGTTAGTACGTCCAACTATAATTACGCGAATTAACTTATTTATCGTCTTCCTTATCTTGTTTTCCTATTTTCACTTAATATACCATCTAGCCAAAATTAACTCTTCCTCGTTTTATTCCAACAAGTTCAGGTGATTCGAAACGTCATCCTACTACTAATAAACAATCCAAAACATTCCATCAGTGTTTCCAACAAAAATCCTCTAGCCACGAGCAACAGGAAACCCAAAAACCCGTGAATCTTACCAAAATACGTGGCCTCGAGTAATGTTTCGTTCCGGTTGCTATCAATCTTCGTTAAAATAACTCTATTTCCTCCCAACGTGCTTTATTTGATCTTTCACGTCCTCAACCACGTAGCAACAGCTCCGAGCAAAGTTGTCGCGTAAGTTTCGCGCTAAATGGCCCGATTGACTCGTCCAGTGTCTTCGGCATGATAAATACCTTTCACGTGCAACTGTCCGACGAAGACTTGTCCGAATCTAGAGAGTTTCCAGGTGTTCTGCTAGACGAAGCTGGCGCAGGTTGGAGTAGACGTGGTCCGTACCACGCTCTGTATACCTTCGTAGCGATACGTCATCCCTGACAAGCCGGTGTGCCGATAACCTCCGTCTCCGACAAACCCCCGTGTGTGGCCTCACACCTCATCGCGGCAACGGCCATCCATCATGTTTGAGTAATGTAGGGACACGATTTCACGTTATTGCGAATGACCGACTCCGACTACGTGGCAACGTTCCTCTACTTCCAACCGATTACTATTGAAGAAACTGATCCTTTATTAGGGACCATTATCGACGGAACTCCCATCGCCCTGATTTACAGGTACTTTGTTAACATGATGGACGTACAAAGTGGACCATGTGAAAGAATCGAACGGTTAGAACGATTTTCAAAGTGGTTATACGGTTGTTTTTGTCACGATTTGTAGGTGTTCGAGTAAAACTCGGTGTGACATTTTCGGAGATCATGATTAGGCCATGATGTATGGTAAAAGGTAGTGTTCTAGATCTTACTTGGAAAAGTAGGCGAGGAATTTGTAAGAACAAAAGATATTAAGATGGTTGAAGCTAGATAAGCACGATTGTGGTAAATAAACGGGACGATAAAGCGAGGCAAGACATACAGTGTAGGCAGAGGAAAAATGTGCTAATTACAGTAATTCGGGAGAAATAGTTAGATTTAACCAAGTAAGATCACTTTTTTCGAAGAATCGACTCGATTATTGCTATTCACAAAAAGAAAAGGTGTAACTAGAGAAAGCGAAATGGATATAGTACACTGAACAAAGACACTTTAATGAGACATCACCACTATACAAATTTTATTTCGTCCCATTTGCATGTTATGTTTGTAAAAGCGATATCAATGCATTGTTGGGATTCTTCTGGTTAAAATGCGTGCAAACACGACATAAATCAGACTAACTATAAACACAATAATTAATTTCATACAGACGGAAAAATGATACGTAATAACATGATAAAATAGCCTGATCTACTAACGACTCCTGACAAAATTTACTATACCATACGTGGAAAAAATTCTGGAAAATATCTCCTAGAGAATAACTTCGTTAAAGTAAAAGTCATAAATTATGCTAGCCATTTGCACGATAGAGAACTTATTTTTGTACTTACGGATAGACGCTACAAAAGTATATTATACTAATAATAGTATAATGTAATATTTAAAAGATACTCAAATGATGTACTAATGAACTCGTATCTGTTCGCTATAATTACGTCTTCCACACTGACTTGCATGTGAAATACTTCAGCATTAGCCGCCGATTCGACTTTCTTTTGCTTAATCACTCAGTGTGAATCACATATACACGAACTTGGATTTCAAACGAGTCACCGCAGACCCGGTCACCGACACGCGAGAGTTAAGGATTCCAACAATAAGTTTGTTTTACTTTTAGAAAGAGTAGATAAAAATTAAGGACAATCAAATTTTCTACACTGTATGTTTCTTATCTCAATAGCGGCATGCTTTGTATTATATCTGTCTCTTTCCGTTTCGCTCTACCGATTTCTTCTTCTGGTCAACAGTGTTAGGTTTCACAAAGCACGAGAGAGTAAATTGTGGCTGAATTAAACCAAGGATTATCCTATATGACTTGACTTGTAATCTACTCTTTGTTCGGTATCTACTACACTAGCTACGACAATAGTTACATGATTATATCAATCACTAATTTTATCAAAATGTTTAGGAAGAAACAGTTAAGCTGTTTGCGAAAGTGGAATTTTTTTCACAATTTCACTACATTTTTCAATTTTCTGAATTCATTTTACAATCGTTTTGCATTCGAGAATAACATTTTCAACTGCGAAACCGAGGTATATTATAACACATTGTGTACTTTAATATACCATTAAAAAGCACGATATGAAAACATGAAACGAAAAAATTACGCAAACAAACAGCGCTAACTGAATGAAAAATACAAAAAAAAGGAAGAATTTTGTTTCTCATATTAACTAGTTACTCTATCAAAGAAACAAAGACGCGATCAAAGGTATTTAAAATTTCTCCATCATTTCCTAACCGATCTATTGTAAAGATTTTAAACAATTCGAAAGGCTCCACAAACTCATTCAATGTTAAATTAACAAATCTGTTTACTGTAAAAACCTTCATACAATCCATGACAAATAATCGGAATATAAGGCAACAATATCTATTATCAACAAAGTAAATCGATTTTAATTAGTTTACCAGATGCTACCTCAATCAAAAGCTAACGATGAATTCGTGGAAAATACGTATATAACAATACATTTTCAATCCAAATGTAACGATACACGTAAAAAATAAATGATGTATCAACCAAATATAAAAAATACCGTTCATATGAACTAATTCGTTTCTATCCAAAGTGATGTAACCTATCTGATTAAAACCGGGCCTTACAATAAATTTAAAAATATTCTTAAATTTCATGGAAAATCCTTTACTAATATCAATATATTTTGTAATTCTCAATCTAACTGTAATACTAACAGAACGTCTACTTCTAAAACAACACAAAATGGCTGCACATATACGAAAAATAAAAAAAGAAAAAAAAACGAGATCCTATTCTTTAAGAATGAGAAGATTTCTCACAAATATTCAAATGCCAAATCCTAATCTGACTGCAAAATTTGCCTACTTTGAACACCAGTATGATCCTATTGATCCATAAAAATAAATAAATACTCTCTTACGAGGTAAATATTCTTACTTACCGTTATGGACGAGCAGAGCAGAGTCACGGGCAACAGTGATAAGGTCGCTGTCGGTGAGTGTTTCGTCGGACGCGTTACCAGAGGTTGGTGTATCACTAAGTCCAGCACCAGTGCTGGGCATATGATACAAGGGATGCTGCTGTTGCTGTTGATAGGCACGTTGTTTATGCTGACTGGCGTTGTAGTGATTCAGGTGTGATTGCGTGGTCTGGTGATTATTTTGAGGGTAGGCGGGAGCGCGACCTCGCAGGCTTGGCGAATTTTCCTCACCCTCACTGCCGCTCAAACTGTAGGCCGGGTAGAGCCGTCCCTTCCCTGGAACAATCGTTAAAAATGTTTCCATAAATACCGTGTCTCACCGACAACATGCGTGTATTAACGTGACATCAAAGATGGGTAAAAAAGGAGACAAGGGGCGTTAACCCCCATTTAGGATCAGGGTTTGCCGTTTACCAAATAATTAAATTGCTCAAACTGTTGACAGATCTTTTCGTTTTGCACTCAACATTGACACGTATTTTTTGACATAACAAGTACATCATACAGAAATATTATATCATACAATAATAAGCTATATAAGTACAATATAATATAAGTACAATAATAAGATACTTCTTTACGGCATAATATTATACAACATATAATAAACAATATAAAATATTACATATTCACATAATATAGTACTGCATAAAATAAATTAATAATGAAGGGAAAATTTACATAAAATATAATATATAATTTGAAGTAAATAATATAATTTAGTACTATATTGTGTAATAGATAATATACTGTTATATAATATAATAATATATTCTAATAATATTATGCCATATAATATACAATGGAGAATATAGTAATCCAACATACAATTATGAATAATTAAAATAATGATATGTTTTTATATTGCATAATAATTAATAAACTATTAAAATAATACAATATTAATATATAATTGTATGTACAGATTGCATAGACGAACATAAATTTTGCACCAACATGGAAAATATTCAAAATTTAATCAATCTCTAATAACACACAGCCTATATCCCCAGTGTGAAATATATGCGTATATTATATTGTAGAGGTTATGCTGTCGACGATCAAGCGTATACCGTTCGTAGCATCGCTGAAAACGTCGATGTCCTATACCTGCAAACAAAAGAAAGTTATTTTATTTTTATTATTAAACAAAGCATGATTGCAATATTCACTAAAACTATGCTAGTTGCAACTTACTGATTAACAATGTGCAGTAATGAACAATCTGTCACAAAGAATTAAACATGTATGCAAATTATACTTACGTTAATACGAATTCAATATGCATGTATTACACTGGAACACAAAAATAATTTGAAAAAGAATACTATATTTCGTTTCGGCTCGAACGTGACTATTATGACATGCACGTTTTATCGATAAATTAATATGGCGTTCAATTGTACAAGAATAGCGTTCGATATCTAACATGGATAATTATGATATTCAATAAACAAATACCTGAGATTTCACATTATTGTTCTTGGATAAAGATCTGCCCAGATGCGGAAAATGGTCGATGAAAATCGTACCTTATAAAACAACTTGAGAAAACACAACACATTTTTCATTGACACATAACAGATCGAACTACGTATCGGCCATATTTCATTTCGTCTTGAAACTAAACGAAGATGCGCGCGCATTAATGTTATTGCTAATTTTCTCGCGGGAAGATCCTGCCTGTTCGAATGGTTGGAACGTGGCGTTGGTCACGTGTTCCTGCCATACATGCATCTTTCTCAACAGAAAATGTTATTATCTACCCTATGTGATTTCAATTATACATTTAATATTATTTTTAATAAACTATTCCTTCTATTATACAAATAATATACCGCTTTAACTGCAAACATCAGTATAAAAATTGTATGATTAAAAAGCTATATATCCTGCTATAGAAATTTGTTTCACTATATTGTTATTCGATTAATACACGGAGTAACTGCAATATTCATATCGTAATTTCAGAATGGCAGGAAACAGAAAAACAAGGACAACGACGATTTTTGGATTATCGATAGAATAAACCACAAAAATTTTCAATGATACAGACTAATTTGATAATTCTTTACTATTGATTTGTTTGTTAATCGACAAAATGAGATACATACATATACTACTCCTTTTATGTACGTAATATATACTAAAATAATTTCGAAAAGTGTATCTTTCTACCGTAAAAATATTTGATGTTAAAAGACTATACAACCTAAATACTACACATATCTGTCATATAACATTTCGAGTTGCAAAATGCTCGCTAATCATTTATCGTAGGGGAGAGGTTATGCTGTGAACGTTCTAGCCTATATCGTTTCGTAGCAATGATAAAAACGTCGGTGTCATATGTCTGTAAACGAAAAAGAGATATTCTATATATACATGTAAAAAAAAAAAAACAAAGCCAAATCGCAATACTGATCGACACTACGCTACTTGTAACCTATTGATTGTCAATGAGCGGTAATAAATGAACAATATGTCACAAAAAATTAAACATTTCTGTATGGAAATTATACTTACGTTAATACGAATTCAATGTGCATTTATTACATTGAAACAGAAAAATAATGGAAAAAACAATACTAGATATCATTTCAGCTCGCACGAGACTATTCAGCCATGCACGTTTTATCGATAAATTTGTATGGCGTTCAATCGTATAAGAATAGCGTTCGATATCTAACCTGGATAATTACGACATTTAACAGACAGCTTCCCATGGTTCCACATTACCGTCCTTGGATAAATATCTGCCCAGATAACGAAAACGGTCGATGGTAATAGTACTTCAGAAAACAATTTAAGAAAACAAGACACATCTTACATTGACACGTCACACATTCGACTACATATGTACGCCATATTTGATTTCTTCTTGAAACTAAACGAAGATGCGCGCGCATTAATGTTATTGCTAATTTTCTCGCGGCAAATCCTGCCCGTTCGATTGGTTGAAACGTGGCGTCGATCACGTGTTCCTTCCAGTAAATATTATTATCTACCCTATATGATTTCAATTATACATTTGATATTGTTTTTAATGAAATATTCCTTCAATTGAACAAACAATATACCGTTTTAATTGCAAATATCAGAATAAACTTGCTACGATTAAAAAATGATATACCGTATAATTGAAATTGGAGATGGAAATTTGCTACACTGTTTTGTTATTTGACTAATATACAATGCTCCTATTATATTTATATCACAGGAGCATTGCATATTTCGTAAGTGGAAGAAACAATAATCGTATGAATTAAAACGATATAATTGTGACATAAAAGAGAGTGATTTATTATATATGGGATAACAGGGTACTTTTTTTTACTATCAGTTTATTTATTAATTGGTACAAACATATAGCTGCGTATTCCGCTCTGCAGATATGCAATATAAATTAAAAAATTTCCTAAAAGTGTATTTTTCTACCGTAAAAATATTCGATGTAAGAAGACAATATAACCTAAATACTACACATACCTGTCATATAACTTTTCGAGTTGCAAAATGCTCGCTTATTATTTATCGTAGGAGGGAGGTTATGCTGTGAACGTTCTAGCCTATACCGTTTCGAAGCATCGATAAAAACGTCGGTGTCATATGTCTGTAAACGAAAAAGAGATATTCTATATATATATGTAAAAAAAAAAACAAAGCCAAATCGCAATACTGATCGACACTACGCTACTTGTAACCTATTGATTGTCAATGAGCGGTAATAAATGAACAATATGTCACAAAAAATTAAACATTTCTGTATGGAAATTATACTTACGTTAATACGAATTCAATGTGCATTTATTACATTGAAACAGAAAAATAATGGAAAAAACAATACTAGATATCATTTCAGCTCGCACGAGACTATTCAGCCATGCACGTTTTATCGATAAATTTGTATGGCGTTCAATCGTATAAGAATAGCGTTCGATATCTAACCTGGATAATTACGACATTTAACAGACAGCTTCCCATGGTTCCACATTATCGTCCTTGGATAAATATCTGCCCAGATAACGAAAACGGTCGATGGTAATAATACCTCAGAAAACAATTTGAGAAGACACGACACATTTTACATTGACACATCACACATTCGACTACGTAAGGACGCCATGTTTGATTTCGTCTTGAAACTAAACGAAGATGCGCGCGCACGAATGTTATTGCTAATTTTCTCGCGGGAAGATCCTGCCCGTTCGAATGGTTGAAACGTGGCGTTGGTCATGTGTTCCTTTCATACATTCATCTTTCTCAACAGAAAATATTATTATCTACCCTATGTGATTTCAATTATACATTTGAGATTGTTTTTAATGAAATATTCCTTCAATTGGACAAATAATATACCGTTCTAATTGAAAATATCAGAATAAACTTGGTACGATTAAAAAATTATATACTGTGTAATTGAAATTGGACATGAAAATTTGCTACACTGTTTTGTTATTTGCCTAATATACAATGCTTCTGTTACATTTATATCACAGAAACATTGCATATTTCGTAAGTGAAAGAAACAATAATCGTATGAATTAAAACGATATAATTGTGGCATAAAAGAGAGTGATTTATTATATGTGGGATAATAGGGTACTTTTTTTTACTATCGGTTTATTTATTAACTGGTACAAACATATAGCTGCATATCCCGCTCTGCAGGTATGCAATATAAATTAAAAAATTTCCTAAAAGTATATTTTTCTACCGTAAAAAGTATTCGATGTCAAAAGAATCCACAATCTAATTACTTCTCATACCTGTTATATGATATCTCGTGTTGCAAAATGATTGGTGTCGTTTATCGTAGCATAGAGGTTATGCTGTGAACGTTCTAGCCTATACCGTTTCGTAGCATCGATAAAAACATTTAATGTTATATGTCTGTAAACAAAAAAGAGATTTTCCACTATAAAACAAAGCCAGATCAGAATTATGCTATTTGCAATCTATTGGTTGACAATGTGAACTAATAAATGAACAAGCAGTCTTGAACGATTAAACATTTTTGTACGCAAATTGTACTTACCTGAATATGAATTCAATATGAATGTATTACACTCAGATAGAAAAATAATGGTAAAAACAATACTAGATATCAATTCAGCTCGCACGAGACTATTCAGCCATGCACGTTTTATCGATAAATTTGTATGGCGTTCAATCGTATAAGAATAGCGTTCGATATCTAACCTGGATAATTACGACATTTAACAGACAGCTTCCCATGGTTCCACATTACCGTCCTTGGATAAATATCTGCCCGGATAACGAAAACGGTCGATGGTAATAGTA